ATATATAATATAATTCACCAGTGTAACCAGTTATTGTTGTATGAAAGTTTTGAGAAACAAATTCAATTTTTAATAGCTATGGGTGTCCACATTTTCTATTTCATCATGAGTCAGTTTTGATATGTCAGTTTTAGTCCACTGAGCAGCAGATGCTGAGATGGAGTTATGTGAGCAGAGATTGAGTGGGAGGCTGGGCAATGCCTGTAGAAGATAAAGCAGGCAGAGAGCAGGATTGGATATGGAAAGCCTTGAGACCATGAAGCAGATATGATGAGTGGGAAAGGAAAGGGGAAGAGGAAGGAAATGCAGACATGAAAAAGTCTCAGCCAACTTAGTGGGATGCTCCAGAACAAACACTGCCTCCTAAGAGTCCTATAATGGGTAGAAATGACCAGGCTCTGGTATCCCTGCTATGTTCAATAACTAAAGGCTGCCTTGGGAGAGTACTGAAACCTGACATGAATCTAGAATGTGTGATTAGGTGACAACTATCAGTTACTATACTCTTCTAGGCTGACTAGCAAGTTCTTTCCTGAAAGGAGGCCAAAGCAATACATTTCCATGGCTAACATTTTGGTAATTCTGTTTTCCATGGCATTTGTCCATTTCATCTTAAATATTCTTTCTTTCCTTTTTTTTTTTTTTTTTTTTTTTTTTTTAACAAAGTCTCGCTCTATTGCCCAGGCTGAAGTGCAGTGGCATAATCTTGGCTCACTGCAACCTCCGCCTCCCTGGCTCAAGTGATCCCCTATCGTGGCATACCCAGTAGCTAGGACTGCAGGCACAAGCTACCACACCCAGCTAATTTTTGAATTTTTTTGTAGAAATAGGTTTTTGCCCTGTTTCCCAGGCTGGTCTTGAACTGCTGGGCTCAAGTGATCCACAGGTCTTGGCCTCCCCAAGTGCTAGAATGCTAAATTTATTGACATAAAATTATTTGCAATATTTATTTCCTTTTTAGTCTCAGGATAATGTGTAGTGATAGTCCCATTTTTATTCCAGGTATGGATATTTGGATTTCTCTTTTCTTTTTTTTCCTAAAAACGTTTGGCTTTTTCTCTATTGTTTGTCTCTTTTCTATTTCATTGATTGGTATGCTTCTTATTCTTTTTTTCTACTTACTTAATTCACATTTTTTAAAGCTTCCTAAGTAGAAACTTAGACCACTGATTTTTTTTTTTTAAATCCTTTCTTTCCAAAATAGATATTTAAGACTACAAGCTTACCTCTAAGCATAGCTTTGACTGCATTCACAAATTTTGGTATGTTGATTTTCATTACTAGTCAGTTAAAAATATTTCCTAATTTCAACTGGGTTATTCCTTGACTATTGGATAAATATGAAGGTGTGTTTTCTAATTTTCAAACATCTGAGGCTTTTCAGCTATTTTATTGTTAATGATTTCTACTTTAATTTCCTGTGATCAAATAACATAATCTGTGTAATTTTAATCATTTGGAAATTTTTGAGTCTTACTATGGGCTATCTTGATAAATAGTCCATGTGTATTTGAAAATAATACATATTCTGCTGTTGTTGAGTCTGATACTTTATAAATGACAATTAAGGCAAGACCTTTGATAGTGTTAATCAAATCGTCTATATCCTTCTTATTTTGCCTAGTTTTCATACCAGTTAGGAAACATTGGTTTTAAAATCTCCAACTATGCTGATGGGTTTGCCTTTTTTTCTCTTTAATAGTCAGTTTTTGCTTCATATATTTTAAAATCTTATTATACACATGAATAATAATTTTAAATGTGCACGCACATTTAAAATTTTTAGATGCATACATGTTTAAAATACAAAGGACTAAATCTTCTTCATGAGTTGACCATTTTTATTACTAATTATTTAACTCTGATAATATATTGCTTTCAAGTCTTATCTTTCCTGATATTCATAAAACCACTCAGTTTTATTATTCTTAGCATTAGCATGGTATATGTTTTTCCATCCTTTTATGTTCAACCTACATGTGCCCTTGTCTTTATAGTATATCTCTTATAAACAGCATAGAGCTGGACCATGCTTTTTAAAAAATTTTGTCTGACAATCGAAACCTTTTCGTTGAACTGCTTAGTCTATTTATATTTAATGTACGATATGATTAGATTTAAGTCAACCAACTTATTTGTTTTCTATTTGTCTCAACTTCATGTTATTCTACTTCTCTTTTCTTACTTTCTTTTGAATTAATCAAATATTTTTTAGTAGTCTGATTTAATTCCTCCTTTGTATTTTGGCCTATGCTTCCTTGCACTGTTTTTAGTTGTGACTGTATAGATTACAATGTGCACCATTAATATGTACTTAAAGGAAAGATTATACACTAGGAAGCTTACTGTAATGTAGTTTCTCTTATACCTCCATCCTTCGGGCTCTCATTGTCATTCATATTATATCTACATATGTCATAAACCCTGCCAAACAGTATTATAATTTTTGCTTTACATAGTTATAGCTTTTTAAGGGAATTTAAAGGGAAGTAACAAGATAAAATATTTTATCTTTTTATATTACCCACACGTTTATAATTTCTGGCGTTCTTCATATTTTCCTACAGATCTGAATGTCTATCTAGTACCATGTTTGTCCAGTCTGAAGAACTTGCTTTATATGTCTCCATCATCATTTTCTTCTGTAATTATTTCCTCAAATATTTGTCTTTCCCATTCTTTTTCCTCTCCTTTTGGGATTCCAATTAAATGTATTTCAGATCATTTATTATCTCACAGGTCAAATACTCATTATTCATTTTATCTACTTTTCAGATTGGGTAACTTACACTGATATATCTTCAAAACTACTTTCTCTTCTCACATCTTGAACCTCATACAGTAAAACTGTCACTTTAACTGTTGTGCTTTTCAATTTTATAACTGACATCTGGTTATTTTTATGGTTTCAATTTCTCTTTTAATGCTTCCCATCTGTGCATTCATTATATGCATACTTTTCTTTAGTTTTTAACATATTTATGAAAGTTTTTTAAAAACCTTCATCTACTAATTTCAACATCTGGATCATCTCAGGGTCAGTTTTTACTACCTACATTTTTTTCTTAACCATAGGTCATATTTTCCTATTTCCTTACATACCTAGTAATTTTTTATTATATATTGGACATTGTGAACAAAACACTGTCAATATTCACAATTCCATTTTGTTCCTCTGAAGAATGATGATTTTTATTCTAGCAGGAAATTAATCAAACTCCAAATTCTGCAGTGAGTGATGGCTGACATCTTTGCTCAAATCTTTTAGTTTCCAGGTATTGTTTTGACCATTAAAAGAGTGCATTTTCACTACAATGATCAGCAGTGGACTGGGACAGGGCTTATAGGGGTAGATGTGGAGTCTGCTACTCTTTGGACTTCTGTTCTTCCATGGATTCCCTCTAATTAGCTAACTGCTCTGAAGTCCCAAACTACATCTTCTTAGTAACTTACTAAGACTGAGGCTTTCTGCCACCCCATGCTGCCTGGATGAGTAGGTGTTCTCAGGCAAGAAGCTTCAAACACACAAATCCCATCAATACCATCTGGTCTCTCAAGGGTTAACTTCCCTCTACCTTCTGCCTGTTTTTAGTTGCTACCCAGTGCCTTCAGATAGTTGGTTTTAGATGTTTTGTTTATAATATTTTGTCCAGATTTCATAATTGTTATCTGTATTGGTCTGACTGTGCTACTCTGTCATTACCAGAACCATGGCCTTGACTATTGATTTTTGTCTACGATTAATAAATAAAAAACCATGAACTACAAACGGTTCAGCATATCTACATACCAAAAGATCAAAACAACTGGCTAATAAATTTTAAAGAAATGATTTTGGCTTCAGGGCCCCCAATTCCTCTATATTCACAAATTCTATTAAGCTGATGGGGAGAAAATAAGTTTGAATGCCAGCTCCTCCATCTGATTTTAACTTCGCACCAAGGAAATACTGAACTTGTATGGTGAATATACGTGTGGATTAGGAGTAATGAGTGTAAACATTGAGGCAATGCCCAGGATAAAGTCTCATAAAAAGTGGCTTCTACTGCCATTACCATTAAGTGCTCCTACTGTATTAAACATATCAAAATGAAATTTAAGAAGCTTTACCCTAGAAGCTCAATATTGGTTTCTACTTTATTAGAACTGAATAAACAGAAGAGTTCCTGCAACTCATACTTTTTCTGTGTGTGAAGGATGGGAGAAGATGAATGATTTGAGACCAGCATAATACTATAATATATTGAAGGTGATGAGGATTTTCTCTGAGCGCTTAGAAAATAAAGTTCATACTTTGAGATGCTTTTAAAGTTCACACTTTGAGATGCTGGGCAGTGTTCCTTCTCAAACTGAAATTATCTGCTTAATGGCTTGGCACCATGAAAACTGGTTTACCCTACTTCAAAGAATTTGTTAGACTGTATTTGGACTCACTCTGTTTAATGGTTAAGAAAGAAACTTAGAAGGGAAAACTCTAAGAAAGAAGTTCTCTATCTTCAGATACAATTATATAATTCACTTCATAGATAGGTGATCAAGCACTTTCTCAGACTCAAAGTAAATAATTTTCATTGCATCCTTCAATCCTGGATACTTTTAAAAGTGTGAATCCTTTTTCTTTCTGAGCCATTGAAGAAAATCAAAGACTTTTGACTTTGAACATCATACAGGCCACAAAAAATGAAAGTTTTGTTTAAAGTAACACACAAAATTATGCCTAGCACTGCTCCAGGAATAAGGTAGCAATCTTTCTATGGTTATAGCATCTCTTAGTGGTTACATATATAAAATACTCTTTCTACTGCAAAGTAAAAAAAAGAGGGGGAAATGCATTTTTAAAGAAGCTGTTTATAAAAGAACATCAAACAGAAAGCAAACACAACAAAAATCACTTATTCAAAATACTAGATGCATAGTTATACAATCAGAGGACAGGGCTCAATTATGCAGGAAAGTAGGAAGGGTTAAATCATCAATATCAATTGATCATATAAACTTACCAAGGCTTCATGATCTTCTGCAATTTCTGGTATCGCCTGCAAAATTTAAAAACAACCATGTGAGGAGCACACTTAAAAGCAACAATTTTTACATAAAGAACATATTTTGAAGAAAACTCAGGGTTAGGTTTAGGACAGATTTAACTGCCATGAAGCAAAAGAGCTTTATCCATTTCAAGACATCATTCAAAGTAATTGCTGTTCTTTAATGATCAGAAATAATCAAAAGATCAGCATTAAACTACTGTCATCAACCAGCTGCATTTGCTTATAAGTAAAGACAGCCAGAATAGTCCATTTAGATCAGAATGGTTCTGTGTTCAATGGAGCAGGGGAACCCTAAAAATAAGAATAGATTAATTTTCAATGAAAACAAGTTGAGCTAAAAAGCACTTGACTATAAAGAAATATTTTACTATCTTTCTTTGATAGACGGTCCACCAGTTTTACTTTTTCTCTTTTTTTCTCTTATTAAGGTCTAAACTTTACGTATTCTTATTCAGTCTTCTTTTAAGGAGAAGTATTATTGAAAGCTTTTTTTTAACATTGTAGGGGAACTTTTGA